TTCCAACATAAATGAAGACAGAAAAATAAACAGCAGTGACGTTTGCAGGTTACTGAAGTTGGACTACCTGGTAGCTATATGATGTTGTGCTACGTGATCGCTAGCGACACAGCTATGTTAGCATAGCATAAACACAGTGAAGCTGGAGGATGAACGCCAACTTTTTTTCCACTCGATAAAAGTTAATGTGAGGGATTCTGGTGGTCAGGGACAAATGCAATCGCATAGCAGGGTGCTGTACACGGGCCAAACTTCAGTCAGGAGAACAACTGAGATTATTCATCCACAATACGAGGTTAGTCATTAATATACTGCAACAACATGGGAACAGAGTAGCTGTGAGAGGATTCAACATTAATGAATCAATGTTACGGAAGTGGAGGAAGCGCAGTTTTTGGCTTTCCCCATATTTCAACAGTGCTTCATGTCTTTGCTATGACTGTCGCCCACCATAATTTGCAGATGATAATGGTTGTAGCCACTGCGATGCTTTCGACCAAAACAGGCGCAGCTTGATGACATCATCAACATGCACTATCCCGATAGAGCGATATAGTCAAAATCTCTATCGTATATCGTTTATATCGCCCACCTCTAGCTGGAAGTTCAGCTCTTTAAGGACACTTAAGGACACGTGCTGACATACAACTAGGGCTGCCACAAACGATTATTTTGATAGTCGACTAGTCACCGATTATTCTTGCGATTAGTCGACTAATCAGATCATGCATCCATTGGACGTAAAACGTACAGATTATTGCAGCAGCATGCATCTGCTCTTATACAACTATCATTAGCTTACAGCTTTAAGTGTTTAAGGTATGTGAAACTAAAAATAAAGACAAGATGATAGTTTATTAAACTTTTAATGAAATTTCAAGTTTGAAGCCACCCGAAAACAAATATAACAAAATAGCATTTTGTGCTCAGTCCTCACAACTATATTGAACTTTGGGACTATATAGTCAGTATAGCAATCTACACGAGATTATTGTTCATAGCCAGGAAAGTTAGCTTTTCTACATGTTCTGCAGAAAGGCTTGCTCTCTTTTGAGAGCAGATGTTCCCTGCTGTGGAGAAGATCCGCTCCGATGGGGTGGCGGTTGCAGGAATGCACAGAAAAGATTTAGCTAGCTTTGATAGTGTGGGGAAACGTCCCTCATTTTCGCTCCACCATTTAAGAGGATCATCCTTTTTAGAAACTGTGGCTTCTTTAAAGTACAGCTGAACTTCACTTCTCACAACTTGGACATCTTGGTCCTCCTTAGATGCTTCTTCCTCATTGTCACCCTGACTGTCTGTGTCAGACTCAAGGAGGTTGTCCAGAGCAGTCTTTTCAGTTCTACCTGAACCATTGGCTGTCTGCACTTTTGCATGCTCATGTGTCCCAGCATTTGCTTCTTTGACAGCAAGCACTTCAACAGTCCCCTGCACTCTGATGACATCTTCAGGAGCCAAAAACGTCAACTTTCTGTATCTGGGGTCCAAGGCAGCTGCGAGAATAACAGGGTTTTCTTTGTCTGCTGAGAAAGTACATATACTCCCCCATCTCTGTGTTATGCCTTTTTCTGCACTGGCAATGAAAGATTTTCCTGAGCTCGTCTCCAGTTGGCTTTGGTGTACAGCCCATGTCAGCCCTTTGACCACCTGTCGAAGACCTGAAACCGTTGTGTACTTCTGTCCACTAAGGTAAACAGTAACAGTCTCAAAAGGTGCCAAACCTTGCTTCAGTTCTTCAAGCAGCACCCACTGCTCTGGCTTCAAGTCGAAGTAGTGTTTCCCCCTTGGCGTTACCTCGGGATCTGAAAGAGTGGCAGTGAGAGGCCAGCGCTGTTCGAGGAGTCTTTCTATCATGTGGAATGTACTATTCCATCTTGTACTGACATCTTGGATCAGTGTATTTTTCTTCACATTCATTTGCTCCTCTTTCATTTTTAGTCTTGTACTAGCCAGCTCGCTTCTCTTAAAGTGCTCCACTAGCTGCCTAGCAGCACCTAGTGCTCTGCTGATGGTGGTTTCTTTGAGAGCAGTATTGACTATGAGCTGGAGTGTGTGTCCAGCACAGCGGATAGAGGCCCATCCATGTTTTTCTTCAAGCAGTCGCATTGCTGCCACCATATTGGAACCACTGTCATGTACTACTGCTTTTATTTTGGCAGGCAAGATGTCAAACTTTGTTAGCACCTCTTCCATCCATGTCATTATATTGGCACCAGTATGCCTCTCCTCAAGAGGCATGGTATCAAGGATGAAGCTCTTCATCTTCCAATCTTCACTCAGGAAATGGCAAGACACACCAAGGTAGGCCTCTGTTGCACGACTGGTCCAGACATCAGCAGTCAGGGTGAAGAAACCTTTGACACCACCAAGGGTCTGCTTTACCTAAAGATATGAGATGATTTGGAACAATAGTAAGCATTAGGGAAATATATTACAGTATATTTTTTAATTATTAATAATGCTTGTCAGTTTATGCATTAAGATTTGAATTTACCAATTGAATAATTCAGTTACATCAAATACACTTACGTATGTTAAACAATAAACATTCAACATATCAGTAAAAAAAAAAACAACAACTTTCCATTACATGCTTTAACCAAGATTAATTTATTGGTTCCTCAGTCAGCAAGCTCTATATTATTTCATCATGAAATGTATTAAATTCTAATACAAATTGCTATTTTGTGTTTGTGGTGTGAGAGAGTGGAGAGAAAGAGAGACCAACCTTCTCAAAGGCAGCATCATATTTCTTTTCCATCAATTTGGTGAAGTGGGATCGGCCTGGTAGGTAGTTATCATGGTAATATGGGTTGAACTGCTTGATCATCTCTTTGAAACCTTGATCATCAACCATAGACAGGGGTCTCATGTCCGTCACCAACATGTTCAAGATTGATTCAGTCAGGACATCTGCTTGCCGAGGTGTACATGTTGTTGGCTTGGTGACAAAGTCGTCCATTGAAGACGAACGTATTTTTTTAGCAGTCCTGTAATGTTAACAGCTATTAATATAAGCAATAACAAGTAGTGCTCTCAGCGTTAATCTCGTCAATACGATGTTAACGCGGCAAATCCCCGTTAGCGCGAAAACGCGGTGCGAGGGCTGCATGGCACTGACTAACGGGGATTTGCCGCGTTAATGCGGTTATGGCGTTAACATCATACTAACGAGATTAACGCTGACAGCACAAATAATTAGCAGCTTGCTGTTTACAATAATGTTAGCAGCTAACTAGCCAATTAGCTTAGCGAGACGACTGTACCACTTCGTCGTCGGATGCCACGACGTGCTTCCTTTTTAGATGCTCGTGCATCGCCGTTGTACTGCCATGGAAGGCAAGTTCCATTTTGCAGATTTTGCATTGGACCTTCTTTTCTTTTGTTTGGTCAAAATGCTCCCAGACTTTCGAGTTCCGTTGCCGAGTAGCCATGATAACGGAGACTGCTGCTTCTTCTTCTTCTTCTTCATCTTTGCCGTTTAACGGTATCCTTGTAGGTGCATTTCCGCCATCTTCTGTTTCAGTCCGTTATTACACTCTTAAAATCCTACTGTTATTCCTGCACCTTTCAGGATTTTACGGCATTTAAACGATGTGTCGACTATTAAATTAGGCGTCGACGATTTTGATAGTCGACGTAATCGTGACTAGTCGACTAATCGTGGCAGCCCTACATACAACAGTCTTTCTGCTGGTAAACACTGTCGTATGCAGAGATGGGCATGTAGGGCTACAGCGAAAAATTAAACTTCAAATCTGAGCGAGCAGCGAGCACGCTGCCACGGGAATGTGACATTCACAGAGAAACCCCCAGATCCTCCCACTGACATGACCGCCGTGGACAAACCTCCACCCGCCACACTAATGCTAAACAGGTGACAATAGATTTAAGAGCTGCTGAGTCTTTGATTTGATTTATTTTCTGCTGTGTTTTACTTGCATCTATATGAAAGAGTGTAAACACAAAACATGATTTTATTTTATATGCTGGAATATGCAGAAAATAGTTTTAAATGTTAAACACATTTCTTCTTGCATATAATTTAATTTTTGCTTGATGCAATGTGAATAAAGTTAAAAGATTAAAACTAATGAAACAAGTTTTAAAAAGAGATTTTTCCATTTTACTACATTTTATATGATGGATTATGCAGAAACTAGTTTTAAATGTTAAACACATTTCTTCTTGCATATAATTTAATTTTTGCTTGATGCAATGTGAATAAAGTTAAAAGATTAAAACTAATGAAACAAGTTTTAAAAAGAGATTTTTCCATTTTACTACATTTTATATGATGGATTATGCAGAAAAAACAGAACTGGGCTAGAGGGCTATAACTTTATTACGTATTCAGGTTGTGTATCATGTTTTTAAAAAGTAACTAATTACCTTTGAAAATAAGTAATCAGTAAAGTAATGGGATTACTTTCTTGGAGAGCTAATCAGTTATTAGTAACTAATTACAATTTTCAAGTAACTTGAGCAGCACTGGTCTATGTGGCCTGAGACAGGCTTATTGTGTTGCCTAAGTATCCCAGAGATGTCCTTTACAGCTGGCTCTCTGCTAAGCTGCCTGTTTTATGTGGCAACATGAGTTCATCCCTTGAGTTTGGAGCTTTACATGACACGAGTCAGTTTATTAAAGTCAAACACGATGAAGCACAAGGAGCAAAGCACACTTCTTCAGCATTTTTCACAAAAACCCATCAACTATCTTCGATAACAGTCCACCTTAACAACACTCATCCTCACACCATCTCTTCCGTCCACCTTTAGGCTCCCTGTCAATGCTGTTGACCTGTGTGTGCTAACAGCTAGCTGGAGCTGCTGCTAGCCGTCCTGCTAACTTTTCAGACTGTGTTAGGGTCACAGACAAACGTGGGTGACCTCACAGAGGCAGAGACACGCGGGGAGCGGAGCTCCCACCAACTGAACACCGTTTAAAGCACGAGCGCAGCGGCGATACAGGCTCAGAAGCTAAAAGCTAACACACCTACCAGTAACGTGAGTTCTGGCTTCCGGTTGTCCTGTCACCACGTGTCGGCCCCCCGGTCCTAAAGCCTGTCCGTACCGCTCTCGTTTTCTGATGTACGGAAGCCCTTTAGGTCAATTTTGGACAACGAGAATAGTAAAATTAAAGGATAAAAGCACAGTTGTTTTATGCTTTGTTACTATTTGATTATTTTTATTTGTCACAGTTTTAACTTTCAAATCCAACGAAAATAAAATGAGAAAAATACATGTTTCAGATTTTCTCATTTTATTCATTCATTTTGGTATCACGTAAAGTTTTGACCTACAAAATGTGCTGGCTTCAGAAACTACAAATATTAAGATAATAATCCCGAGTGTTACATAATAATTGATTTAAAAACATATTTATAAAATGTATTTATCTACAAAATTTGATTTACAAAATGTTTCCCCTTTCTACCTCCTCATTTTGATTTTTGTGCCTTAATCTCAGATTTGTGAGCCTCAAACCTTTCAAACTTTTGAATAACTCAATGTTAAGTTTTAGTTTCATCTCTGAAACATGAACTTACAAAGCCACAGCTTTTACCTCCCACTTTGTTGTTTTGTGCTGTGATGGGACGCTCGGTTCTTCCTCTAATCCCTGCTGTGTTTTTTGGACTTTGCTTTATTTGATAAAGGGTTGTTCTCTGTTGCTTCAGCTCTTTTTCCACAGTCTGCATCTTCCTGTGTTTCATGACACAAACAGTGACTTTCTAAGATTTTTACTTTTATCTCATAGTTAGATTTGTAAAAATAAGTTTGAGCTTTTATTGGAAAGCTGTGGATAATTTCTTAATCACCTTGACTTCCAACCAAATTTGATAATTTAAAATCATCTGGGGTTTTTGGCTCAATCAGACTAATGGCCTTTAAAGCTGAGTGCCACAGACAGAGGGAGGAATATTAACAGATGGACTAACATACTGCTGGTTTGGGTCTCATCAGAGAAATAATGAGTGTTTCCAGCCATATTCTTCAGAAATCAATCTCAGAGGCTCGAGGACACCCCAGACTGCTAGATTAGATAGACTCTTAATTTGACACAACAGCCTTTGCATTTACATTTTAGTCATGTTGCCATTTCTGCAGACGTTCGGGCTGTTAATGGACACTTTCAGGACAGCCTGCTGTGGGAAATGAATGCGAGAGCTCACACTTACAGAGCAGAACAGTGTCTCCCTGAGGAAATGATCACTGATGACTCACATCAGCTGCAAAGAAAACCACTCAGAGGGATGCTGTTCATCTTGTCTGTTAGTCACCCAAGTGTCACTCAGTGCTCGGCATCAGTTCTTTTTGTTTTTTTAATACATATATGTCAATGACAGATGTAGGTACACTTGATTAAAAGCTCTGAATCGTGAGGCAAAACACACAAAGGCTCAAAAAGTCAGAGTACAGCCTGGTGTGTCCCTCACATCCACGTTAATCCACACTCTGACCTCTGCGAGTCGCGTAGTCGTATCCAAAAGTTACCTCGAGTCTTCATGAAACAATATTTCATTGACACAAGCAATAAGGAAGAAAGAGTATATACTCTTCATCTTCATGATTCTGCATATTTGTCACACCTACATGTTTCAGATCATCAAACAAATTTTTAGATTACACAAAGATAATCAGAGTAAACACACAATCCGGTTTTTAGATGACGAGTTCGTTTATTAAGGCATCAAACTATCCAAACCTGCCGGCCCTCTTTGTTAAATCATGAATTAACTGTGACTGAGCCCAGTTTCACTGCCACAGCAAAGCTGATCACTGTGGCACCTGCTGACTCACAAACCTCTTAAACAGAAGCTGTCTGACAAAGTGAAACAGGCCGAAAGATCTCAACCAGCAGCACATCACGATCACGCCACGATATAAAGAACCAGCTGAGGAACAACATCGGTGACATCATCAGTCTGAAAAGTCACAGAGGCATTTCTAAGGCTTGTGAGAGTCGTTATCCACACCTTCACAAGAGTGACCAGCCAACCAAACTTACTCCACGAGCACATCATAAAATACATCAGTTCTGTCCTGTGACTTAGTCAATGACAGCTCTTTAAAACGAGGCTCTAAGGTGAGGTCTTCTCACGTCGTTAAATCCTCTGTAAGTCTCGTCCTCACCTCCTTTCCTGGTTCGGGCGAGGATAAGAGGACAGGAGGTCGGGATGTGAAATTTGAGATTGCTTTTGAAGCGCTGATGAGATTTGCGGTCGCCACCTTCTTAGACTTTTGGAGGCAGAAGTGTTCGTACTGGACGAGATGGTGAAGTTTGAAGCTTTCCCCACACTATAAATGGTCCAAACCTGTCTGTCTCTGCTGCTGGGCTCACTGCTGGAGCTTCAACTGGACAGTAGAGGACAGATTAGAGGAACGGAAGTGTTGGGCAGTTAATATTGGTGTAACTTTGGTCACCGCTAACAGGTTTGTGGCTAAAGTAAAATTTTCTGCCATAGAAGAGAGCGGTTTAAAGCAGCGGTCCCCAACCTCCGGGCCTCCGACCGGTACTGGGCCGCGAGAGTTGAGGCTCAGGTGTGAAATGTTTGGTTTTCAGGGGTTTTATCGGTTTTCAGCGTTATTTTGTTATCGTTTTTATCGTTAACTTGGTTTTCCTGGGTCTTTTCACGTGTGTTATGAATGAAGTAAGGAAGGAAAATACAAAGCTGCTGCCCGCTCAGGTCGCACAGAGGCTTGTGTTTTATTAAATTTAAGAGTTTATTATTCAGCAGAATAACTCACGTGTCTCTGGAGGAGAGCTGATTATACCTCAGAAAAGCAGAAAGAGTTTTAAAAGACTCGAGTTTTAAAAGACTTGGCTTCGTCAAACAGGCTGCTGATGGACAACTGAGCGGTCTCAGCTGAGCGCGCAGCAGTCGGGATCAAATGCAGCACGAGTACAATCACGAGAAAAGAAGAGCAGCCGAGGAATTAGACATGAAGGAAGCAGGCCCGCTTCAAATGAGGAAGTACTCGTACCAATCAGAGTTTTAAAGCAGCCATAGCTCTTTTATGATGAGGGCCTGAATTCTCCTTCAGGGCTTAATTAAAAGTGGAATGTAGAAGCCATTATCACACCGAGTGGCTGGTCCTTAAACCACCATTTCCACGTCTCCACAGTGTTTTAAAGAGGAACCACAGATGAGAGGTTATAATATTACAGAGGAGCAGTCACAGGGCACAGTTTGGTTAAAGGCTCGATGCAATAATCGAATAATAATCATTTATTTTGTGTTGCTTTTCAAAGTTGCCTCACGTAGGCTGTTACAACAAAAGAGAGTTATAAATTAAAATATATAAAGCAGCAAAAATAGGATAATAATAATGTTTTCATAGAAGATGAAAAGTCATGAAAGTTGTTTTATGAGCTCTGAGTTTGAATCAGTGATTTGTTGATTCCTGATCGACATGTTCAGTGTTTGATGGCTCCAAGCTGTCGCTCTGTAGTCTTTATTCCACTTTGTTTGACATGAACTTTGGACTTTGACCCAGTGATTTTGGGTTTGGGGGCTTCTGTTTAATCACTAGTTTGCTCATTGTTTCCATGAAGTTGACTGTTCCTGAGCTAATCTGAAGGCCACATGAAGTTTGAAAGTCTGTAGCGAATGACAGGAAGTTGGCGACCTATGCATCTCAGCATCTCCTGACCCCGCGCTGCGATTTACGTGGCCTACAGCTTCATGGCCAGGTTGCTGTTGTTCCCAGTCTCTTTCCCACTAACAGCTGACTGTGGAATATTTAGTAGTGAGGACATTTCCTGACTGAACGTGTTGCACAGGTGGTGTCCTATCATGGTACCACACTGGAATTCACTGAGCTCCTGGCAGCGAGTCATTCTTTCACAATCGTTTGTAGAAGCAGTCTGCATCCTTAGGCACAATCTGATATCGTCGTGTTGGTGTTGTTCCCACATCATCATGAAAATGTTGTTCCAGGTTCAACATTGCAAGTGACCAATCAGAATGTTGTGACGTCATACTTTTGCGACTTCGGGAAAAACCGCCGTAAAACAAAAAACTGTACTTAAGCTGCGAGAAACCGTCTCTGTCTGCCGATCAACGGACCCTGACCCTAACCCTAACCCTTTAATAAACGGTAAGCAGAATTGATATTGTCCTTGCAACATTGGAATTTCATAAATGCACGAATGGCTTGGCGCGCAAAAGAATAACGTCACAACAATGTGATTGGTCACTTGCAATGTTGAACCTGGAACAACATTTTCATGATGATGTGGGAACAACACCAACACGACGATATCAGATCATCCCATCCTTAGCTGCTTGACTTTATACACATGGAGGTGAATGGAACACCTGAATTTAATGAAAACAGAGTCTTTGTGTTTTTAGTTGGTTTAGCCTCTTGAGTGGCATCTTGTTAAGTCTCTCCAGTTTCTTGTTGATTGTGTCTATTTGGTCGGTAAGTCTGACGTCATTAGCCATTTCCGGATCCAAACTCCACTTCAGGTCCCAAAGCCAAACGAACACTGCGGCATCACTGAGAGTTACAAACTGTCTAAATTCTTTCATCTTTAATAAAATCATCAGCGTTGCTGCTTTACCAGGTGTAACAATTAAGTTTAACATCCAGGCATCCATGAAAACAGGATTTATGAAGTTTAGTTAGAAGTTAGCAGGAAGTTAGCTCGCTAGCTTCCATCTAAGCATGATATAGCATGTTCTGACTGAGAGGGTTCTGAAAAATTCAAACGTACAGCTCTGCTGTTATTTCCAACATAAATGAAGACAGTAAACTAAACAGCAGTGACGTTTGTAGGGTTACTGAAGTTGGGCTAGCTGCTATATAATGATGTGCTACGTGATTGCTAGCGACACAGCTATGTTAGCATAACATAAACACAGTGAAGCTGGAGGATGAACGCTAACTTTTTTCCACTTGATAAAAGTTAACGTGAGGGTTCCCGATGGTTTGGGCTTTTTTAAGGGGCTTGTTCAGATTAAATAGAACAAGATGCAAAGCATTAAAACATGTTAAAAACACAACAGTCTTAGTAAACACAGAGTAGTTCAGACCTGGCAGCAGGGTTCATACGTCAC